ATATTTTGTACTTTTCTTTTTGGTAATAAATGAATTTGAATTGAATCAACAAATCGATGCACATACAACAAAATTCAAAGTAAAGGGCAGAATAATAGTTTAAAAAGTAATTATAACAAGAGTCATAAATGGCAGGTACTCAATCTAAGAGTAGTCAGAGTTCAAAAACAGTGTAGAGGGCCAAGTGCGAGTTTAGTTCACATCAATTCGCTCTCAACAGTAAGCGCGTTCGGCATCGCGATTAGTTAAGATTTCAGGGCGAGCCAAACGCATTCATCGTGACGATCGAGTAGATGTGAAATAAACTTGCACTTGGGCCGGTTTCAAGTAAAGAATCATCGAAACCAAAAAAAAACAAAGACGTAACGAAGGCGCAAGCAACAAACAACAAGATGTCATGTCAATTGTCAACAGACGATTTCCGTTATAATTATTGCCTGACTTGATTTAAGTCTAGATATTGTGATTTCATTTAATTATTTAATTATAACCAGTCCTACACCGTTCGGAAACAATATAAATTTTTGTTTTTACTTTGATCATGATTCGTATACGTAAATATTATTATAGTCAAGCTAAGTCTTTTCAGTGTCAAAATTAGTAGTTTTGGTCTTCTATACGATCATTATACACGTTCTGTTAGGGAAGGTATTGTGCCTAGTACATGGAAGTACGCGTACATAACACCAGTGCACAAAAATGGAAGTAAGGGACCGGTGGATGACATCTTATATACAGAATCGTTCCCAGGCTGTCGCAATCAATGGTGTCGTATCGAAGTGGCATTAAGTCCCTTCAGGAGTTCTCCAGGGAACGCTCCTTGGGCCTTTTCTATTTAATATTTTTATTAACGATATTCACACCTGCTTTCAAAATTCATAATTTTTATTTTTATAAGTAACTGCCCATATCCAAATTATGTTTGTTTGAGAAAATACTTGAACGCCGTATTTACACCCAAGTATACGGCGCTTTTTCCTCATTTTTCATTCCCGAACAGCACGGCTTCCTTAAAAACCGATCTACTACCGCTAACCTACTGGCATTTGTCGACTTCACCACATCCTGTATGGACGAGAGCGGTCAGGTGGACTATACATTTACGGACTACAGAAAATGTTTTGACCGTATGGATCATACCATATTTTTACTAAAGATTTGATATGCAGGCATTCATGGTAACTTGGACCGGTGGATGACATCTTATATACAGAATCGTTCCCAGGCTGTCGCAATCAATGGTGTCGTATCGAAGTGGCATGTAGTCCCTTCAGGAGTTCTCCAAGGAACGCTCCTTGGGCCTTTTCTATTTAATATTTTTAATAACGATATTCACACCTGCTTTCAAAATTCATCATTTTTACTTTACTTAAACGACATGAAATTTTTTAAAAGTATAAACGATGTGGGAGACTGCTACTCTTTACAACAAGATCTTAAACTATTAGAAAACTATTGTCAGCTAAACAATCTAGATCTCAACGTATCTAAATGTTATGCAATTACATTCACTCGCAAGACCAGCAGCATATCCTACGCCTACACTCTAAGGAACAACCATCTGAAACGAGTAGATTTAGGTGTGATACACGACTCTAAACTTACCTATGAGAAGCACATAGACCATATAGTAAATAAATCAAACAAAGCCATGGGATTTATAAAAATATCTTGCTCCCCAGTTCACGGATGTCAAAATAATCAAGATAATCAATGTACAACGTTTATATTTCAAGATTGGAATCTATCCAGGGAAACCTTACGAGATACCTTGAGTACACGTGTAAAACCCGCGATGATAATTATGAACTGAGGTGAAAAAGGTACCATTAGCTACCACTTTGGGAAAGAAGAAGTATATCGGTCTCTTTCCTCGTTAAATTAGTACAATCTTACATCGACGCCCCACAACTTCTCTCTAAGATTGAGTTACGTGCCCGTACTAGATCTGTTAGGATACCTTATCTTCTTCTCAACGTCCCCCGCTGCAGTACAAACTACAGACAGAATTCATTTATAAGATCCGCTAAGTGCTACAATAAGTTGGTCGACTTTTCCGAACTTGACTTATTCACTACTAAGCCATACATGTATTTAATCAAATACTTTCTAAACATTGATTTGGAGTGGTTCAATATCTGCTTAAATTATACTTTATATCGTTTTATTCTGTGTGATGTAGTATTGCAATTATTGCAGTTGATTTTTTTTCTTAATTTTTTTTCTAACAAACAAGGTATTGATAGTTATTTAAATGTGGAAACATGTAATTGGTTTTTAGCGACATTATTTGCTCTTACCCAGAAGTTTGAATACTGTTTGTTTTCCAAATAAAATAAAATAAATAAAAATAAATACCACGCTGGCCAGGCGGGTTGGATTAGAGTAAATGTAAAGTTTTCCTCTCTTTGCAGTGCTGTTTTGTACTGTCCTGTGTTGTTTTGCACCCTTAGCTGCCTCTTACGACGCCCACAAGCTTAATAGGAGTCAAAGGGTCAATTCATCACCATACCGATTTTTTGAACTTATAGAAAATTATTTTCTACTATTTAGTCCGGGTAATTACAAAAGCGTGTTATTTTATTTTTTACATTATATAGCCGACAAACTTATTATATTTTAAATTCGCAAACGTAGTTTTTTATCGGCGAAAAGCGCTCTTACAAACTATAAAAAAAGAAAAAACAGCAGCATTTAAATAAAAACATAAAATATATAAACAGAAGAGTAAATATGGGTGTTTTGTTTTCCAACTGCCATTAAGCAATGAGTCCTAAGTTGTATCTTTAATATATTTTTACCGTTATGGTCTTGTCCTCAGATTACAAGACAAAAGGGTTCTGTCTTAATAATCCTGTATTATTATAAACAGTTCACTGTTTGTTGTTTCTCCATAATAGTTTATTACTTTTGGCTATTGTGTTTAGTTGTAATTCGTTATTTGGCATTAAGTTTGTTAAAGTGAACTCATTTTTTTTATTAAGTGCTTTCTTTGTAATGAATAGGACAATGTGCTTAAAATTAATAATACATCATTTCAAATGTGTTTATTTATGCTATTGTTTCTTTGCAAGAAACGTTATAAGTATCAGGATATTCTATTAAACAGTGGAATCTACAGAAGAATTCAGATATCAAACAGTGCTCCAAAAAAATGACAGTTCTAAAAGCATAAAGCAAAACTTAAAGATAAGGAAGAGTTTAAAGAATTATGCAAAACTGAAACCGTAAGTTGTATTTATAATGAAATTTAAGAATAATTTAGTTTATGGTCGTGGTGGTCGTTAGTGGTTGAGAACACTATCGAGATGCATGCACAGTGTCTTCAAAAACTCGAACACCTTGATATCGAATCAAATTAAATCAAATCATTTATTTGTTTAAACACGTGTTTACATAAGCAATGAGCATGCAAGGTATTAAAAATTAGATTCATTTCAGATGTCTTAAAAATACACCAATAATATTGATTAAAAATAAATTACATATATGACTTATAATATATATATTTACTGAATATAATTCGTGTGGTGACGGGTTAAGAATACAAAGTGTCACCACCCCTATTCATCCCGTGGGTGTCGTAAGAGCCGACTAAGGGAGCAAACTAAGCAGGACAACAGCACTGCAAAAAGAAGCAAAACTTGAAACAAACCCTATACCAACCCGTATATAACTTTAAAAATATAACGCTGAGAAGGGCACTATCTCTCGAGATACAGGTGTTCACCTAATTCGGGAGATTGGGTCTCAGACTGTTGTACACAATTATTTGAATGAATATAATAATGTAAGTTATGAATATACGTTATGAACGTATAAATGTTAAAAAATATTACCTGCTAACACCTGGCCACGAAGAGGTTGCGACCAGGTGGACAACAGTAACTATTACTTCTTAGGTTCTCTCTAAATATGTCTATGAACTGTACTGCAGTTCATTTAAATATAATGGGTCAATCCAATATCTACCATAAAGTACCTGCTAGTATTAATATTAATTAAAATAAAAAATACTAGCAGGTACTTTTTAATAGGCCATCCGGCAAAAACACATTGTCTCCTTTGTTATTACTGAACTAAAAAAAATGATTTTGATTGTATACTCAATGAACGTAGGAATTTTGCAGCCGGATCTCGTACTACTATTTATGTTACTAGCTTTTGCGCACGGCTCCGCCCGCGTGCATTGGAATAGGAAAAAGTAGTCGGTGTTATTCGCTGATAATTTAGCTTTCCATTGGTGAAAGAATTTTTTAAATCGGTTTAATGGTTCAAGCGTGAAAGCATAACAAACAAATAAACAAATTTACTTTCACATTTATAATATAAATATGGATATTCTTCAGATAAAAGACTGTGTGAGTGAGTGAATACTTGTCACATCATGGAAAAATCAAGTAGTAATTTATGTTTTAAAATATAATGAAGGTTTCCCCGTACGCCATAGACATCAATAACTCTAATTTCTTGCTCTCAGATTACATAAATTATTCCTTTCTCTTGATTGAAGTGCTATTCTAAGGGTTGTTACGTATTGTTCTTAAAAACTTTCGGTAGATAATAAAACCTCCAATAGTAGGCCAAAACCTCCTTTCTAAGGAGAGGCTTATGTCCAGCAGTGGACTATTAAAGGCTGTTGATGATGATTGATGAGATAATAAAACACTTGGTAGATAATAAATACAAAATATATTTTAATAATAACTTAATTATGAAAGTTTACCTACAATTAGAACAAATGAAAAATTTACACGCATTTTTGCACAGCGATATGATTAAATCAGTACTGGATGACGCTGTGCGGATCTACCATCTTCAGAAGAGATTTTCTTCTTACATTTTGTGAGAGTAACTGTGCCCATTGCGCAATATTTCACAATTGAATATCTCGCTGCATCCTTCAACTGTGCATATGTAGATCGTCCGTAAATGCACATTAGAGAAATGTCTTTTCAATGTACCTTTGTCGCTAAAAAAATTTAAACATACGTAACACTTTAAGGCGCCTTCTCCTTCTGCGCTTCTAGATTGCGTTTCCTGTAACAAAGGAAGATTAAAGTTTCATTAGGAGCGAACTGAAGGTAGGCAAGAAGGGAATAAAAGAAAATGGTGCTTATACGGATGTATTGCGAACTGTAAGTCATAGCATGAGAAGGTCAGGTTCGGTTACCTTTGACTCTAACTGGCAGGTACAATGAGGTCTGAGCTCCGAGTATTAATTTTTTATTAAAATAATGAATTTACTAATAACATATATGAATTCAATATGGCAACATGATTCATATTCACAACATACGGAGACACTATAATAATGCCTTTGATCATATTAAAAGGATTCATGATTCAATTTAGATTTTATATGAAATTATCCTTGAGTATCGCTTAAACTTAATAAAGATAATACACTGAGGACAAGTATGCGCTTTTCTTAATCTCGGCTTAAATAATAATGTTTATCTTATTAAGTTATAAACATATTAGATCTTATATATTGGAAGTAGAGAAGTCTTTGTGAAGCCCTTACCTCTGCAAGCTTTAGAATTCGTTGTAGCACCAAGTTGTATCCTGGAACAAGCCTACGCCATTTTCCTGGAGATGTGGATTTAATTTTCTGTAACAAGGAAGATAAAAGTTACATTAGGAGTGAACTGAAGAAGATAGCTATGTAAGAACGAACGACAATAAATGAAAAGAGTGCTTATACGGATGGTCAGGTTCGGATACCTTTAACTCTAACTGGCAATTATTATGAAGTCTGAGCCCTCAAATTTAACGTACCTAATAATAGTACATGTTTTTTAACACTCGGATTTTTTTATTGGACCACCCAAGACGTATTTCTAATACTACATACATCATTTTGTCATGTCATGTCAATAGGGTGGTAACTCCGATTATCATCCTATCCAGAGTTAAATAACGATAAAACCTACCGCCCATTACTGTAGATATACTCTTAACTACACCTAATACTGCAATACACTACAAAAAAGTTTAAAGGAACGACATAAAATTGAAGAAATATTTAAATATATTTATTCATTGTAGTAACGTATGCAATCATTCGCTCTCGTTGCTAAAAGGAGAGGCGTTATTAAAACTTGAATTAATTTGTCCATGCCTGGGAAACTTAACAGATTTTCATTAACTTTTTTTCTAAAGGGGTATTTGAGTGAGGCATATTTTAATTCTTGAATTCACAATCGTCTTATTAAACCACTCAAATACAACTGAAAATTTAATTATTAAATAAACTAGACTTACTTTGAGTATGAATTTTCTATCAAAATAATGAATTATATTAACCAAATCAATTATATATATATTAACTTAATATATAACGATGACTAATAATGCAGATACACTATAATAAAGACTTTGATCACTATTAAAGGGATTCATGAAACAATTTGTATGAAATTACCCGTAAGTATCGCTTGAACTTAATAAAGGTAGTGGTACAATGAGGACAAGTATACGCTTATCTTAATCTCGGTCTAAGGCGCCATGAATATTAAATAAAAACTTTGATCTAATTAAAATATACATAAAACATATTAGATCTTATATATTGGAATTAGAGAAGTCTTGTGTGAAGCCCTTACCTCTCTCAGCATTAATATTTGTCGGAAGGCTATTTCGTGCTCTGGAACTTGCTCACTTGATCTTCCTGTGCTGCTAGATTGTGATTTCTGTAACAAGGAAGATAAAAGTCTTATTGAGAGTGAACTGAAGTAGATAACTAGGGAAGGAGGGATGAAAATGAAAGTAAAGGGTGCAGATCATGATGATGGATGATGAACCAAATCAAATTTTACTCCTCTTTCCAGAGCTGTTGTCCTGTGTAGCTTGCTTGATGCTGTCCTTACTTGGCTCTTAAGACCCAAAGGGATATAATAGGTGTGGTGACACTCTGTTTTCTTAATACGTCACTGCACGGACGTCCATAAAATGATTAAAATATTTAAAAAACCATAACAAACCTCAAAAGAATTATCTCCCCACCGCCGTTTCAAAGTCTTTTCCAGTATAATTAACTCCTCCTCATCATGGTCACTCGCAGGCGATTCGTAACCACTGTCCTCATTTTCAGACATTATGGTGTCTATAAACAACACACTAGCCGTAGACTTCCTATGGTTTTCGAACACTAATGCTTAAAACCACCGACTGTGATTTGAAATAACATAGGGTATCTCAAGGGAACTCTTTCATTGATGTCCACGAGAAGACTAAGTTAACCCTGCAAAACGACACTTCAAAGACGTCTCTAGTAAGGGGTGGGGATAATTGGCGTTATGTTTATTGCTGTGCAAAAACAAACAATAAGGCCATGTTTACCTGAAAGTACCCGAGTTTTTAAGCCGATATTAACATGAACGGGTGGTATTTTAACTGCTAAAGATTAAAACATTATTACTTTCTGTGGTTTTGTGATGTAGCAGCAAAAAAAAACATGTTAACCCCAAGTACCATTGTTTTAAACCACGCCTATTGTTTTAAACGCACTAGGAACATATCCTGTGCCGCGAGGGACTTTACAAATATTCATATTACCGACACAAGGAACACTCTCAGAACAACAAAGTGTTGTCCCATGTAGGGATCAAACCTATAACATTCAGCGCAGTAGGAAGCACGGAAGTGACTGCTTAAACCACTACTCCATCCGTGCAGTGCGCAATAACTAAATATTTAAATTTAAACTAAGTTAAATGTACTGTTGAGTGTTATTTTTGTTAGTAGACATGTCATTATTAAAATTTTGATATTTTAGATATTTAGGTAAGTAGGTTTGAACGTAAGCCCTTGCCTACATTCGTACGTACAAAAATGTGTGTCAAATATTTTGATGACTAAATTTGTGCTTATAATTTTTGTAATTTAAATAAACCAACTTAACGCCAGTTAACAAAACACCAGTTAATAACATGGGGATGGTGAAATTAGAACTAATTTAAAATAAAAAATCTTTTTTTGTTGCTCAGAGTGTGTACCTGTTTAAATTCTACTTTAACTATCTTTTGTTTAATATTTCATTATTCTTTTAAACAATAAGCGTTTCTATAAATATCAATAATGTGGCAAACATCTATGCATTTCTAAGAATAATAGATCAGTACGTACTAAGCTGCAAATCCACATAATTTTTTCCTATAAAAAATTTGAAAACAATACGGCTCAGGTTTTCAATAAATACAAACAATAAAAAATAATGTGAGTCGACGACTGACAATAGGGACGTTCACCTCGTTGATAAGGAACGTTTTGTTCTAGCTTTGCGTACCTACCTAGGCACAGGAAGGTGCATCTTTTTCACTGACTTTTGGGAAGTAGATATCAGTAATTTTACTTATTATTCTTTTTAGTTTCAAAATATTTTCGTAGTAGGGTATTATATGGTTATTTTATTATTATTATTATTAGGTTATTTTATGGTGTAGAGGAGCAACGAGCAAACGAACTGTACTACATGTGCCGTAGCATGACTCTCACACGGATACAACCGCAGATTCTAGTGTTTGTAGTGACATCTCTTTTAATCTAATTTTGTTGCAGTGAAATAATAAAGACGAAAATCTTCGTTAGTGAGTTAGTGATGTCAAGCCAGATCGACTCTTATTGTTGTCACGTTTATGTCTCACGTGTCAATTCTGTTCATATATTGCCTTATTTTTTATATTTAAGGCTAGTCAAGGTCAAATAAATATTCCAAACCATCCATCTTCCATATTCTAACACTAGTTAAGGTGGTTCACTAAAGCATAAAAAGTCACAAGAAATCAATCAATCAAATGAACAGTTCATCAAGTACCTACACCTACATACAAACAAACACACACTCAAATGTCAAGGAGAGCTTTTATAAAAAATATATACGTTCATAAATAAACTAATAAGTATCTGGTATAATGGTGCCCCAATCATTATTATTAAAAACAGGACATATATGTGTACATAAATATATACTCACGCCTGTATCCAAGAACGTGAAGGCAGAGACGTATTAACATTTGTCAATCATAATTTGGCATTCACGTAATATGGATCTATTGCTGTCAACCAGACACTTTTAAATTAAAAATAATAAAATATATTGTAATGGAAATATAACTAAAAAGAAGGTGAACGATGAGAAATTACCTATAATTAATAATAATTATAACTTCACACATCTCACACACGGCAGTGTGATGCCAAACTAGGCAGAGCCTGTGCTATGGCAACGAGACTGCTCGTAAACACACCTAAATATTTTTAAATGTATACATAAGTATTAAATATAAACAAGCCGTGTAGTATCGTAGGATACCCGATAGGAACAAAGTTCCTTATAGGACGATGTGGCGAGAGGGATTTCACCGGAAAAAAGCGTACGGTACAAAAAAGTGTTAGTCGAGAGAACAATTAATGAAAATAAATATTCTTGAGAATACGGTTGTATCAAAAAAACATTTTATTAAAAAAAGCATTTTAAAATATTTATATTGATTAATGACCTATGACGTACAATTTCATTCAATCAGCAATCAAAAGAACTCGTGTTGCATACGACAAAAACGGCGGAAAAAAGATCAGAAGGATGCAAATATTTTATTGGTATATTACCTGCATCAATGATTCATAAAATAGGTTGTAGTGCGTATTACACGACCAATCCACATTACGTTTACTTATAAAAAAATTGAAAACAATACAGCCCAGGTTCTGAATAAAGTCGGCGCCTTTGAAGTCGACCGTATGTGAGAAAGAAACAATTAAATAATAAGGTGGTCGACGACTGACAATAGGGACGTTCACCTCGCCGATAAGGAACGTTTTGTTCTCGCTCTGTATATGCACAGGAAAGTACACTTTTTTCAATAATTTTTGCGAAGAGTGAAATGACTTATTTTATGTTTTTGGTTGCAAAATACTTTTATAGTAGGTACCTATAGTCCGTCCGTGTGGTGACGGATTAAGAATACAGAGTGTCACCACCCCTATTCATCCCGTGGATGTCGTAAGAGCCGACTAAGGGAGCAAACAACGCAGGACACCAGCACTGCAAAAAGAAGGAAAACTTGACACAAACACTATACCAACCCGTCTGGCCAGCGTGGCATAGTAGGCCAAAACCTCCTTTCTAAGGAGAGGCCTATGTCCAGCAGTGGACTATTAAAGGCTGTTGATTGATGTGAATAATTTTTCCCTTCTAGCTAATACCGCAAAAAAAATAGTAAAAATACCACGCGACCACATGAATACGGTAGGTATTCATGTGGTCGCGTGGTATTTTTACTATTTATTAAAACACTAGGGTACTTTCAGGTAAACGTCTATTGTTTATATTAGCACAGAAATACACATAACGCCAATTATCCCCACCCCTTACTGGGGACGTCTTTAAAATGTTATTTTCGCAGGGTTTAGTCTTCTCCTGGAAATCGATGTAAGTGTTTACTAGTGGAGATAAATACCTAGTGTCCTTTTCTTTTAAATAACAGTCGGTGATTTTAGTCTTATTGTACGAAGTCTATGGCTTGAAACCTACCGAAATGTCTGACGATGAGAATTGTGATAACTCGTCTACCTCGAGTGACTGCGACGAGGAGGAGTTGATTAGACTGTCCCGGATTGTAAAGCGGTGGTAGGAAGATGATTCTTTTGAGGTTTGTTTTGGCTTTTTATTTATTTTAAACACTTTATGGATATTAATGGTTCGTGTGATAAGGGCAACCTATCTGGCCAGCATTGTATAGTAAACCAATACTAGCCAGGAGAGACCTATATCCAGGTGGAGGCTGTTGATGATGGATATTGCTGAATTCGACTGAGTTTCTGTTGGTCAGAAAGTCATCAGCATTAGGACTCCGAGAAGGAACATGGAGAAGTTTTAACCAAATTAATAAAAAAGACATACCTTGCCGTTGTTCAGTGTCAGGTCAAACTTGACTTTGTGTAACCCCTGACTTATCCTATTCTTATTTAATGTCTGTTTTGTTGCAAGGAGCCTTAAGCCGAGATAAGCGTAAACTTGTCCTCAGTGTATCATTACCTTTATTAAGTTTAAGCGATACTCACGGGTAATTTCATACAAAATCTAAATTCTAACACGAATCCTTTTAGATCAATGTCATTATATACATAAAAGTTGTCTCTTACTATTATATTTATAGTGTCCTCGTAAATGAGTCGAAGCAAATCAAGTTTATTTCATAAGTTAATTTAATTAACACGTGATGCAAAAAGAGGGGTTTTATAAGTTTGACGTGTTAATGTGTCTAACGAAGGAACCAATTATGATGCTGTTTTATTTTTGAAATCTGACGTGATTGAAATGGTTCTTACCTATAGTTTATAAGGGCCAAGGGCTCATTTCTTAGTCAATGAAGGGATCTCATTAACTTACATAACTCCTATCGATTTGAAGTTTGGTGTACTGTTACTTAGTTTATTAGTGGTATTTGATGGTATGGTATGGTATCTTGACTTGATGTTCCAATTTTTTTATCTTAACATAGTATAAAATTAAGTCACGTGCCGTGCCTTGTGCTCCCCGTGCTTGACCTGTGCTTAGACCTATCAAACTACGCAATTAGTTTTATGCAGTTTTGCATCAATAGAGTGATTTAAGAAGAAGGTTTATATGTATAATATATGCATATTATAGTAGAAAAAATCAGGCAAATTTCAAAGATATTAACTAACGATATAAGTAGATCAAAATAATTTACTACGGTATTGTATGTCTTATAAGGACCTACCAATAATTTTCTGACAGATTTATTTATATCTCCTAAGGATAACCCGAAGTAACCATTTTAATCGTTTATTTATTACAAAAAAACATAGGTTATTTACGAAGTTATTTTAAACATACAATACAGTATTATTCCTTATCTAGTTAAATACGTTGTGCATTGAATGTAAATCAAGATTGCTCTTTATTTTATATCATTAAAATGAATATCTTAATACTATATCAGACATTTAAAATGCGGGGTCAGAGCAGTCGACGGGCCGTAGGTACATACGTCCCGGATGGCAGCGGCCAGCACGCACGGAGTCTGTGAATCTAAATATAAAAATGTTAAGTTGCTTTCTATACTCTTCAAAAACTCAAAAAGTTCTTCACAGATTGAGCTCAAATTTTCACAAACAAACCTTGAAGCGTGTTGTATGAACAAGCTTCAAGAATGGTTTTTATCTATTTCTGAGACTACAATTAGTACAGCGAAGCTTAACAAGGTGCATCTAGTATTGTGTAAAAAGATATCCTGAAGTATAGTCTAATCATATTAATAATATAATTAATTACTCCATTCTGACACCACATTAACATCTATGTACATTGCACCCGGTCGCTTGTGTTTATTTTATTATTAACAGTAGTGTATATCAATGTTTCATTGCCACTATTGTGAGTTAAAGAATTAAAATATCCCCCTCGCCAATACCCCTTCAGAGAAAAGTCGATGAAAATCTAATAAGCCGCTTGAATACGCGGCTTAAATAAATTTCAGAGGCACGTATACATTCATACACGTTTTTCTAACACCACCTTTTTGCAACGTGGGAGAATTTCATTCATACTGCTAAGAATAAATATATTTAGGTTCACTTTCTATGTCGTTCAGTCAAACTTTTTCGTAGCGTAATGCAGTAATGAGGTGTAGGTATATCTGTATCTACAGGTATAGATAGTGGGAATTCTCGCCTTTAAAAAAATGTTTTCTCTGTGGTTTATGAGTTAACCCCAATATGCAATTTAGAAAATAAAAGCACAAATCCACTATTCTCGACTACTTATTTAGGTTCACAGTTTTCAATTTTCATCCATAATTCTATGTTTGTCCTTTTACCAAAATGCTGAATCGTTCATTGTATTGATAAGCAAATTAATAGACATAATCGAATCGACCTTCTATTGGCCGTGATAGGTATACTGTTACACGACAACTAAACTTTCATAAAATCGCTGTATTTCATGTCGACATACGTATTTTTAACATTATATTCGCGTAGCTACTAGTAATTTAACTTTGACTATCATGACTATCGAAGATACTACCCTATCGTGGCAATGTTGACAAAGTGATATATGTATGTAATATTAAAAATAGGTATTGGGTACTCCAATAAAAAAAACTCCGACTGTTAAAAAACATTAACGTTACTAATACTTCGTTAACTTTGATGGCTGAGACTCCATAACAATTGCCAGTTAGAGCCAAAGGTATCCGAACCTGACCATCTTGAGCAATTATTCAGTTCACTCTAAATGAAACTTTTATCTTCCTTATTACAGAAAACACAATCCAGTAATCCAGGCAGATGGAGGGGGCGAGATCCAGACCGCAAAATTGCCTTCAAACAAATGTTTAAGCTTAAAAACGTAAGGGTTTCATACAAGACTTCTCTACTTCCAATATATAAGATCTAATATGTATAAATCTTAATAAAGATTAAGATTATTATTTAATATCCATAACAGCACAAGGTGTTTAAGCTAAGATTAAACGTAGGTATACTTGTCCTCAGTATACCATTATCTTGAATAAGTTTATGCGATTCTCACGGGTAATGTCATACAAAAACTAAATTGTTTCATGAATCGTTTAAAAAGTGATCAAAGTCGTTATTGTAGTGTATCTGTATTATGAGTCATGTTAAGTTAATAGCTATAATTGATTCGGTTAGTATCATTCACTTTTTTGAGAGAATTAATACTCAAAGCAAGTCTAGTTTATTTCATATATTGATACAATCGTTGTGTTTCATATCGACACACGTATTATTGTTACCATTATACGAGTATTCGCATACACTCGTACCTACTCGTAGCTACTAGTTATTAAACTTTGACTAGGATGCTATTCAGAGTTTCTACCCTATTTCGGTAATTTTGATTAAGTAATACCTAAATGGAGTATTCTTTTTTATTTCCTTTTTCTTTAAAAGACAACTCCCGCACTAGGAATAAATTCTGTGTCGGGGGGGTCTTTACAAACATACATGAAACGGACACAAAGAACACCCAGACTCAGAACAATAATTTCATGAATCACACAAAGTGTCGTCCCATGTGGGGTCGGACCTACGGCACTAGTGAGCGGCGTGGCAACCGCTTAAACCACTACGCCATCCGTGCAATACGTGCAATACGTCTTGGTTGGTCCAATAGAAAAACAAGAATGTTAAAAAACATACACACAACTGATATTACGTTAACTTTGAAGGCTCAAACTTCATACCAATTGCCAGTTATAGCCAAAGGCATCCGAACCTGACCAACTCGACCTATTACTTAATATTCGGAATCAATCCGTATAAGCACCCTTTTCTTTCATTGCCGTTTCTTCTTACATAGCTATCCCCTTCAGTTCACTATTAATAAAACTTTTATTTTCCTCGTTACAGAAAATAGAATCCAGGAGTTCAATAACATGGAGTAGGCGAGCTCCAGAGCACAACATGGCCCTACGAGAAATAAAAAATCTTCAAAAGGTAAGGGCTTCACACGAGACTTCCCTACTTCCAACATAACATCATCCTACACAGCCTTTTGCTAGTCCACTGCTGGACCTCTTGCCTACTATACCACGCTGGCCAGACGGGTTAGTATAGAATTTGTTTCAAGTTTGCCTTCTCTTTGTTTCTGTTGTCCTCCGTAGTTTACTTCCGTAATCGACTCTTACGACACCTACGGGATGAATAAGGGTGGTGAGACTGTATACTTATTCCGTCACTACACGGATGCACACTTCCAATATATAAGATCTAATATATATGTACCTTAATGAGATAAAGATTATTATTTAATATCTATAACAGCGTCAGGTGCCATAACCCGATATAACGATAAGCGTAACTTGTCCTCACTGTATCCTTTACTAAGTTTAAGTGATATTCTCGGGTGAATTGTATCATTAATCCTTTTAAAATTGATCAAAGTCACTATAGTGTCTCAGTATACAAATTCATTATTGTAATAGAACATTTATACTCGAAGCTTCATAACAATTGCCAGGTAGAGTCAAAGGTAACCGAACCTGACCTTCTCGAGGTATTACTTACACTTCGCAATACATCCGTATAAGCACAATTTTCTTTCATTGCCGTACCTTCTTGCCTACCTATGCCTTTCAATTCACACTCAATAATTTTTTTTGTCTCCCGTGTTACAGGAAGCACAATCTAGCAGCATAGAAGGAGGAGGCGCCTTGAAAACAAAGAGAGAACAATGTTACATATGTTTAAAAAAATTTTTGGACAAAGATGCCTTTAGGATCCATTTCTCCCATGTCCATTTACGAAAAATATACAAATGCACAGTTGAAGGATGCTTAAGGATATTCAGTTCAGAACCATTGAGGAATAGGCACAGCTACATTCACCACAAATAAGGAGGAAAATCTCTGCTCACGATGGTAGATTCACATAGCCTTATCCAGTATTTATTTAGTTACAACACTCTAGGCTAAATATACTCTCGGCTATCAATCCTATCCATCAATTTGGTTCTAATCCACATTTGAAATCGAATCGTGAATCTGACCCTGTTAAAAGAAAAGATGGATCATGACAACCTAAGAAAATGCCCGCAAATTGTTCACTTGTTTATTATTGTATGTTAACTTTCACTGTATTTTTTTTTTAAATTTGTATGTGTTTTCATCATCATCAACAGCCTTTAATAGTCCACTGCTGGACATAAGCCTCTCCAGAGAAAGGAGGTATGTGTTTTATTTCTACTGAAAAATATTTATAAAAAACTTTGCAACTATAAAATAGCGAGTACCTATCTACATAATATCTTAAAACTAAAATACCTACTTGATTTGCTACTTTTGATTGATATTTTGTGTTAATAAGTACATAATGTACGAAATCCAGCCCCAAAATTGCATTCATCGAGTATAAAATCAAAATCATTTTTTTAAATCAGTTATAAAACGGGCAATAAGTTTATTTCCGGGTTGCCTATTAAAATGTGTAATTTTTGCAAAACTACTAGCATAGAACATAGGTACAGGCACAACCCGGAGTTGGGTCGATGCCCCGAGATTCGAGAAATCGATGACCGGAAATCCCACCTCCGCCAGGTCATCATAGGGGAGTGGAGGGAACGACTCGGGCAACCGAGCGCTGGGCACGCCGTCATTGCGGCGGTAAGACCCGTTATGGAGGATTGGCTCGAGAGGCGTCACGGGACCCTCTCATACCGATTGACGCAGGTGATCACTGGGAAGGGATGTTTCGGAGATCACCTGTGTCTGATCCGCAAGGAGCCAACGCCTGAGTGCCACCACTGCGATGGCCAGACCGTGGACACGGCTCTCCACACGCTGGCAGAGTGCCCGGCGTGGGTTGAGCAGAGGCGAGACCTCGTGGCGGCCATCGGAGTGGGAGTTTTCTCGCTCGATAGCCTGATTGCGGCTATCGTGCGGAGCGAGAGTGCGTGGAACTCTGCCGTCTCCTTCTGCGAGTAAGTTATGCTCGCGAAGGAGACGGCGGAGCGGGACCGGGAGAGGTTTAAAACTCTCCCGGCCCGCCAGGCCCGGGCACGGGCCAGGCAGCGCAGGCGACTCAGGCGCCGGAGGTCGCAGAACGACCTCCGTCCTCCATAAGCGCAGGCCTGGGGGTGACAGGTGAGGCCATCTGTCACCCTAGCAGAAGCAGGCCGGGGTGGCGGCGAGCGCGTTGCGAAGCGCGCTCGCTTCCAGGGATCACAGGGAACATGGGGTTCCCACACGGGGCGGGGGTCGTCTACTCGTCTGTAGATGACCCGAGGTATGTCGGGGCACCAGGGCCTTCCTTTCTAGGGTATACCTGGTTCCCCGGCTATTAGTACCCGGCGAAGGCGTGCGGTTTTAGTCGGTTCGAGTCCGACATGCCACCGACAGGTGGTATCCGAGGGGATTTCCGCACGGAAAAAAAAAAAAAAAAAAAAAGGTACAGGCACAACCCAACTAAAACATATTGTCCCTTTTACAAGTAACATTAAATTATTTTTTATTTCGGTTTCCTTTTTATTAATGTTGAATACATGATCAGTTATAAAATAAAAATATTTTTCATTTCATTTTCAAACTATTCAAAGAAAAATGCGATCACCTCTTGTTTAAACTCATATTTTCTAAGTAGTATTTTTCTAGTAAGTCTTTCATTACTCTGAGTTTGTATTTCTTTTACACACGTTCGAATCAAAACTCATTTTACCTTTCGCTAAGTACAAGTAGTCAATATTATTAATTGATATAAAATTTTAGCATTCACAACTACTTTACACTATATTTTCTTGGCTAAAGATACTGTTAATCAATGACTTTCGTAAAAGGTACCCAATTGGTTGCACGTATGGCGTAATGTTTTAAGCGGTCACCTTGTCGCTTCCTATTGCGCTGAGTGTTGTGGGTTCGATCCCCACACGGGACAACACTTTGTATGACCCACAAGTTGTTGTTCTAAGTTTGGGTATTTTTGTGTCTGCTTCATGAATGTTTGTAAAGTCCCAAGCGAAGCAGTATATATTCCTAGAGCGGGAGTTGTCTTGTAAAACAATAAAAAAACATTGAGCAAATCTACTCAAGGTAATACCTAAGTTGTTTGGATGTCTAAAAGGTGAAGGCTCCTTCATGATTGTTCTTCACTGATAGGTAGACTCATCTCTTATCATCTTTGACTCACAGGTCATGATCATCATCAGCCTATTACCGTCCACTGCTAAACGCAGACCTCCCCCAAGGAGCTCCACCCCTCCCGGTCTTGGGTCATCCGCTGCCAGCCATTTTCTTCAAGTCCTCGGTCCATCCTGACTCAGGATGCAATACACTACATCACCATCACTCATCATCATCATCAATAGTCCACTCTTGGATATAGACCTCGCCTTAGAAAAGAAGTTTTAGCCTACTATACCACGCTAACCAGACGGGTTGGTTTAGAGTTTGTTTCAAGTTTTTCTTTTCTTTGCAGTGCTGTTGTCCTGCGTAGTTTGCTCCCTTAGTTGGCTCGTATTATTATTCTAAGGAACTCTAAAAGCTATTTTTAAATTATTAGTGGGTTTTAAATTGTCATAAACTTTTTATTCTACCCTAAACTTAAACTAGATTGCCTAGCAGTATTTGGAACATTATCTTATAGAAAATAATAATTCAATAATAATATGCAGACAGTAAACGATAAACACTCGTGACACCAGGTTTTTATATCTAATTGTCTTTATCTCTTGACAGAGTCAGCGATATTCATCAATAGGAAAAGTATAAATACAATCTAAGAATGCTACAAACAACAAGTTTCTAGAAAATTGAATGAGTCCAACAGGAATAGAAGACTCAATTCCAACTCTTATTGACTCTTCACCACCGTGTGCAACCTGAAAGAGTGACAACGCACTTCTGAATCTTGAGCTGCTTCTGAATCTATAAGCGACAGCAGTCACTCTCCATTCGGCAGCCCGTCTGCTCGTTTGCTCCCTAAGCCGTAAAAAATAATTACTAAAACCTATTTCATTTAGTGTTTCGCTAGAATAAAATAGTGCCAATTCTCGATTAGTTTAGCTCGGTATATAATTCAACATACATATAATGTGTGTCCATGACAATAATTAGCTTCACCACCGTTTCTAATCACATCAGGAACAGAACGTACTCACACGTTCACGCCAAAACTTTTAATATATAAACATGGCCATATCGTACCAGAACTAAAACATACTCAGTAATTCACCTCGACATTTAATTTAACACGTACATAGTAATTAATAATTGACTAACGCGAGTTGTCGGACAATTCACAAATGTTTGATTGATTACCTCAAGACCGAGTCAAAATAGCTGTAGGTGTGTTCTGTGACTGTTCAAAAAGTGTGATTTGAACAGCTCTGTAGGTCGTTACCTACTTGAAACACAGCGTTCTAGATTGTGAACCATTTCTGAGAAGCGTCAGCTTAAGGTGTAAATAATATGGGTTTTTAACGTATTTTTTTCTAGAGACCTACTCTTTTGAGAACGCCAATGATTTGTTGTAGTAATTTTATGAAATGATAATAATCTTATAAAACCCAGTTTGAGTTTCTCCGTTTGTTACGGTTGTGCTTTCACAACGCACATTCATACTGTAAGGTGGCATTTTTATCAACAATAAAATAATGACGGGCCTGTTTAGTGACTCTGACCTGGTTAGTGACCCTGACTGCTAAGCTGGAGGTCTGGGTTCGATTCCCACACAGGACAAATAGTTGTGTGATGAACACGGTCATTTGTTCTGTGTCTGGGTGTCATTTATCTACGATATATATAATATTCTACCTCATTCACACACCGCCATCTAGTCCCAAACTAAGCAGAGCTTGTACTATGGGTACTAGACAACTGATATAAATACATATATACTTTTTCTTTGTAAATACATACATATTATACATAGAAACATCCAGACCAAATCAAAGATTAAAAGTTCATGCACCCAAATGTTTGACTTGAGCGGTAACTGAACCAGCGACCTTTAGAATAGCAGTCCGTTACACAAACCACTACGCCATCCGGTCGTCACTATATATTTAGAAATATATATGTATGTTAATTAGCAGTCTGTTCACCAAAGCACAGGGTCTGCCTAGTTTGGACGTACATATGTGACATGTGTGAGGTTATAGGTAGGTATTATATTATTATATACATAGCTTTTATCTCGATCAATATTTCCCTTGATTGACAATGTCAAAGCCGCATGTAAAAGATAGTCAATTGAGTAGCCAGTACGATATATTTTTCGATTACAGTGCTTCAAAGATTTTTAAGGATAATAATACATTTAATAAAAGTAATTACATATAAAAAATAAATACGTGTAGCGTGGAGTACTCTCTAAAGCTTCTCCTGGGTTGCAATTAAAGGCTAAGAAATAGGAAAATTTACAAAGAAAGTTTCCTTTGTAAATTTTAATAGTAGTTAAATAGTTATTTAAGTACTTTATTTTTGTAACATCTAGTAAAGATTAAGTTATTCACGTGTAAGAACAGATTAGTTTTTATCTGAGAATTATATATTCTCCGAATCGATACATAAAGTAAATCTCGGTTTAGACACCATCAAGGCCGCCAACATAATAAGAAAGCGTTAACGTGACGGTTGGCATGCCTGACACTTGACGTCTCAATTGTCTTTGATCACAAATACGTGAATTATTCATCAGAAGGGGGCTTACATAGATCTGACACATGAAAAGAATGTCGGAGTTTCTACGAACCTTTGATATTGTTACGTAAATTTAAATTTGGAGGTGTAATTTTTTAGTGCATATACTTTATGTCTTTTAGATGGCAGATGAAGTACAGATTCCATGAATAGAGGTTTTACGAAGACACAAGACTCTCGTGGCCGTTTTCTAAGGGATACCT